GAGCTGCTTTCTGCATCCCAGCATACACAAATCAGTTCTTGAAGTACCAGTGGATTTGAACCCACTTATGGTCAAAGTTTTGTTAGTTCGATAAGTTACGACTCAGCAAATATCATATATATTTGAGATTTATTGGGAAAGATTTCCTTTATTTGAATCAAATAGGGCTGAGATGGGATCTGACAAAACAATTGATGAACCTCAGTCATTTTATCCTTGACAGGCAAAGCAGTATCGCAAGTTGATCTATAGCAGGGGTGGGCAACTCCAGGCCTCGAGGGCCGGTGTCCTGCAGGTTTTAGATATCACCCTGGGTCAACACACCTGAATCAAATGATTAGTTCATTACCAGGCCTCTGGAGAACTTCAAGACATGTTGAAGAGGTAATTTAGCCATTTGAATCAGCTGTGTTGGATCAAGGACACATCTAAAACCTGCAGGACACTGGCCCTCGAGGCCTGGAGTTGCCCACCCCTGATCTATAGCAAGTGGAAGTCTTTGACTAAATCAGTCGGTGCTTTGTGCAGTGTTCACTGTTTTGTACTGTTGAGCTTAGAGCTGGGCGATATGAGATTTTTTCATATCACGATATGTTTTTTTCATTTCAGTCGATAACGATATCTATCACGATATAAGCCAAATAACTATATTTGTAAGATTTAAATGTGCCGTTGCTCACAAGTAAAATGGAATTCAGCAGCTTGTTTTTATTTAAATATTTATTTCCCATAATAAGTTCAACAGGGTAGATGTACTTAAGGAACATGAGACTTTTTCAGATAAATAAAGGCAAATATTGCAAACTACACAAAAGGCAGCCGCTAAAGCGTTTAAGTTTCAAAATAGAACAAACGAAACAGACTAAATTGTCAATTCCACTTAGAAACAAAATATTAATTCTAAAAATAAATCTTAGTTTGTTTTACAGAAGAACAGACAAAACTGACTAACTTTGGTCAATATCAAATAAACTGAGAACTAAAAGGAAATTCTCAATCTCTCCTTGTTGTATAGCTTGAGCTTTTCAAACAGTTTTAACAGTTACTTTAGTCTGACAAAAGCCGAATGACGAATTAGCGCTTCCAGTCAGAGACTGAGGCTACGTCCACACGTACACGGGTATTTTTGAAAACGGAGATTTTCCGTTTTCGTTTTAAAAAATAATCCCGTCCACACATAAAGGCAGAAATGAAGGAAAACTGCTGCTATGAACATGCCAAAGCAGCAGGTGGCGCTAGATTCCTAACCGTGCAGAAATGTTGGCCAATCAGAAGTCTAGAAGCCTCGGTGGGAAAAAGTAAACAAAGCTGGGGCATAGAAGCAGAACCGAGTCGTATGTGTGGACGGACAGTAACTGTGTGTATATGTAAGCATTTAAACACTGCAGAGAGTAGAAGTAACAGTATTGTAGAAATTCATTTCACCGAAACAATAACGTGGCGCACAGTGTGACGCATGCACCAGTTTATTGTATTTCCAGACTTGCTTTCGGCACAATTTACAGTGCACGCTACTCTGTTTTTTGTCAGACTTGAAATAGCCGAAATACCTTCACACTACGGAACTTCTATGGCTCTTCCGTTTGACAATCTCTCCGGCGTTGGAACCATCATCTGTTTTCTCTTCGGTCACGCTCGGTTGATTTTTCTAGTCGGCCACTCATTTCCTCCATTACCCGCTGGCTGCTTCCCAAACAAACACACGTGCGGCTTGGCACTTGTGCTGTACGTAACAAGTCACGCGACGTGACGCTGCGGCTGTGATTGGTTCGGCTCTGCGCTACTTAATTTGGATTGGCTGACCTTTTTTTTTTTTTTTTTTTTTTTTTTTTTGAGGACAAGAGCGGCGAGGTCTATCGCGATAGCTTAATTTCTCTATCGAGTAAAAGTTATATCGCGATACATATCGTTATCGTTCTATCGCCCAGCTCTAGTTGAGCTATAAAAAAAAAAAAGTAATTACTATAATAAAACTATTATTTAAAAAAAAAAAAAAGCACCTGTCCCATCACATTCATCATAATATGAGACTAATGAAGGGAGAAGTAGCTCTTCCAGTTTCAGTTTTACGCCTCATTTAGTATCCACAATGTCTTCACTGGTATCTTAACTGTAAAGGATTAGACAAATCGTCATTTAAGTCACTTGCTTTGTTTGATGATCAGCCTGACTTATGATAACAAAAACGACTTTTTTGTGTGTGGGACATGCAGCTGAGTTTGTGAGATTTTGTCTGGCTTTATGAAACATATTTAACTTAAAGCTTAGTAAAATTGATAGTGTAATGTCAGGCTGTTTGATCATAAATCATAATCACAGCTATTTAACAATTGTTCAGTTACTGTGGAAACACAAATTTACTGAGCAGTAGATTTCCTCAACAGTGCATTTCCTTCCTCAGGGGTGGGGTACAACCCTCACTATCACAAATCACTCAGCCCACAGTACAGGTTCCACTACCCTGCAGTATTGTCACAACTAGGCAGGCCTTTGAGGTGTTCATTTATGGCCCCACAGATTTTATCTTTGCACCATGAGGCAAGCACATGAGTGAAACGGGTCCGTCTGCGGCCCTTTAAGATTGCTTTCACAACGACATATTATCCGTAGGATAAAACCAACTTTTCTTAAGATGGTATTTTTCAGATGATCCAACCTTACCTGTCATTTCACCAGTGCTTGGTGAACAATGCTTTTGTTTTCAGGGAGGCAAGACAGGAAAAAGGTTGATGTTGTGCTGGATATATAAAAACACAGTAATGATTGTTTTTATAATCTTTGAAGACCAAAGTTGTAAAAATGATATTTAATTCTTCTCTCAGTGGTGTGTAACAGGGACTCATCAAACCTCAGATGAACTGATAATTTCCTGGGTTTTTGTTAGGACTGACATCTAGTCAAATAAAAAGGCTTTTCAAACAGTGTGATGTAGCCAGCAAGGACTCTTGTTTTGAAGAGCAAAAATCTGATCGGATCTGAAAATGGCTCTGCACAAGTGCTCTACACAGCCCATTAAGCTCTGGTTTCCCCATCATGAGAAGTTGGTTCATTAAATAAGCATGGCTCCAGGCTTGAATTCACACTCGGTCTGCCCTCTCCCATGACCCTGCTTGCCAGTCACTACACACACAAGTGCAGGTTAGCATAAGCAGACATGCATGTACAGAAACACATGCACAGCTAGCTCTTGTTCTCAGTGTGGAGATGCTGTTTCAGCCTTGATCAGACAAGTCACGCTTCCTACCTGCATCAGTCAAACGGCACAATATAACAACCTTTACACACAGCCGTCACGCTCCTCGACCCTTATTCTGATTAACACATACATACACACACACACACACTGCAATACACTGCCCCACCCATTACTCAGAGTCACTTCTAATCAGTAGAGTAATCTGCAAAACTGATTATGAAGAACATACTCTTTACTTTTTACTCCCACTAACAGTACCACCTTCTCTTGCCTGTGTAGGCCCGGTTGTGCTCCACCGACTCTCTGAAATGAATGGAGATAATGGGAGTCATATGCCGGCTTTTGGTTTCAGGCAGGCCTACATGAAACATTTATTTACTTAGTCTTTATGTAGTCATGGGGCTGGAAACAAGAAAAGGGACAGAGATGACATTGTTAAGTCAGAAGACATGACTAGACTGGTTTAAAAAAAACAAAACACTTTTTATCGATCCATGTTGTTGTTTTTGTTTTGTTTTTTTTCCTCTACAAAAGTCAGTTTTTTTTCAGTGGTGCACACTTCTCCCTAAAGCATCTTGTGTAAGTGCAACAACCCTTACTTAACACAAAACCACATGTTTCATGGGCAGGATAGCATAGTAGGCCTGGAAGATCCATTAGCCTCATGTGTTGCTCCGGAGTCAAAAGCTGTCATTAGCCAGCAGTTGATTGGGGATCTGAACTATGCTGGTACTCTCTAATTGGATACTGTCAGTGTGTTTGGTGGTTGGTAAATGACGGAGTCCAAAGTCACTGCAGCTACTTTTATTAAAGAAAGCATAACTGAACTTGCCCATCCTCCGCCATAGTCATTCACATGCATTGAAAAACATCAGAAAGGCTGAGTTGAGCAGATGTGACAAGGCATGTTTGTCCCAAAAAAAAAAAAAGATATAGACCATCTGCCATACATATAAAGCTTTTAACGGTTGTGTTTACCGAAGCAGCTTCTGTCTGGACTTTGCTATGTGTGGGTGCAGGCAGTCTTTGAGTTAACCGCAGCTCCATATATGCTTCTTTTCTGTTCGTGGTTTCTAGCCACATCTGTAGTCATGTGACGTGAGTAATGTCTTTTCCTGAATTAGCTAAAGCTAGCCTTCTGTTACAGCATGTTTAGATTCCCCCGTGTTCAGGGTAATATTGCTGACAGGCCAAATGTTCTGTTATCCACAGGGATGAGGAAGCAGTTTAACATATATCAGCACATTTTCTTTTAAAGCTAGTAGGTTGATAGGTGTGTGTATGTAGTGTGTGGATCTATATCGATGACTGAAGTTGCTGTAAGTTTTCGGATTTTAAATGCTGAATGGAAAAACTTAAGGTGTGCATATAGCAAACATGTATCGCATTCAACCGTGCCCCTTTCAATCACTGTTATGGGTATGTTAGTTAAAGCAGTGAGGAATGTAGATATTGAAGTGATTTATCTGTGAATGACAGTTATCATCTTACAGATTGATTAAAAAGGCAACCTGTTTGTATTTGTGAGAAACCTTTCTCTCAAGACACGTTTTAAGACAAAAATGCACATGCCATGCTTTTTGTGTTTGTGAAAAATCTTAATGAGAATGGCACAGAACAAGTTAAAGCAGCCACAATTGGGGTTAAGAAGCCAGATTTGGCACACTATTGATTGTTATGGCTATGCTTAAACCTGAGCTTTATTTAGGCCCTGCTTCTTGCCCATGTCTTGTAGCCCGAAACATCCTTTGCACTTTAATTAAATTAGTAATGTTTTTATTTCCCTTTTTTTCCATGAATACAGAGATTGGCTGACATTTGAGAGACCTACCTCCACCACCTTCACAAGTACTGCTCTTCAAATGGGAAATCTTCCTCTGCTTTTTGCCCAAATGCACTGTCTGCCCTCTGCTCTCGTATAAGATGGCTGCCTGTGGCCTTTTTCTGCACCTGAACAGACTGGAGCAGAGCTACTTGCTACCATGGTGATTGTTTTCTCACAAACACTGGAAAAGAAGAAGGCTGCCAATGATGTAACGTCCAAGAGCATCGAGCGACGGCTGGTGAGAGAAACTTTACGTTTTGACTTTCACACAAGGCAAGCTTGTAGGTAGTGTACCCACAAGCATGTTAGACCACGATAAGTTGTTCACTAAAGGATTTTAGATGTCTTTAACTGTCATTAATATGATAGATACATTTTCACTTTTGAGGTTCTCTTACTCAGATGAGACGTTCAGTGTGAGCTTTATAATTGTCCCTTGAAGACAAAGAGTTCTAGGATGTGTTAGCCTAGAACAAGAAGGAACCAGTTCCCTAATAAAATAAAGGGAACTGGTTCAAAATCATTCCAAAATGTCAATGCATGGTGGATCAGTGGTTATAGCTATTGGCTCACAACAAGAGGGTTTCTTCAGGAGCTTTTTCCTACTAGTGGAAAAAAATGGTTGTTTAATGTTGCCTGTGCCAAGACAGTCTTGCAAAAGACATTCTAAATGTCAAGAGTTTCACTTCCTGAGACCGGTTAACAATCCCCTGCTAATCACTGGTTGCTTGGGAAAAATGTGTATTCTCCAGCCAGTTGGCAAGTGGTTGCAGGAGGTTGCTTGCTGTCAGTTGGTGAAATTGGTTGCGAAGAAGAATGCTGCACTGAAAACCTCCTCCCAGATTGTTGCAGCCCCCCCCGTAGCACTCACCAACTACTCTGAGCGGTAGTGAAATGGTGAAAAGTGTGATGCAAAACGGTGATATTTGCTTTCAGTATAAAAGCTGTGCCTTTTGAAATTTGTTAGTTTGAGCGGTAAGGCTCAACTTTTATTTTACAGGCTGCAGCACTTTTTAACTCACCACCAAGCAGCAGTGAAAATGTAGAGTGTTTGCACTTTACATCAGAACTACAGGTGACTGTGGCAATATTCAAGCAAGCAAGTTTTTGGTACAGCATACTCTTTGCGACTGATTACACTCAACAAAGGTCAGTGGCCTCCAGCGAGCCAGTCAGGAGGATAAACGTTATTCTTTAGTGAATGATCTGTGTGACTAAAACTTTAAAAAAAAAGCAACGTATGGAACAAAAAAAGAGCTTTTTTAAATTTCAGTCAAAATGTTATTTTTGGGGTGTCACCCCTGAGAATTATTTCTTTTTTTTTTTTTTTTAACCAGCACCTAGGTTTCACTTCTCAAAGTAAAATAGGGGTTATTTACATTTTATTTTTATCTCACTACTCCATTCAGACAAGCACGGGAGAGTAGTTTTCACTTTCCCGCTTTTATCATGCTGCTTATATGCAGTTTTTAATCTACAAAATCTCAACACTCCTTCAAGCGCTTGGATGGTGAAGGATCACAAACATTTCTTGACACGTTTAACATCAGTATGATTTGTTCTGAAACGTCCAGGAATTATTTTCTTGGGCCCAACAAGTCTTAAATGTTTTTCTTTTGTTAAACCTCAGAGACTGACATAAGTCTTATATAATATGCTGTAAATGTAATCGCATGCATAATTAAAAAAAAAAAAATCAAAAAGGCTTATGGACAGAGGTTTTTCACTGCTACCTTTGCACTCATCAGCTGCTCACGTTAAAGGCCTGGGGGTTTAGTGTACTAATTCTGTCATTTGATCGTCTTCTATGGCACAATAGCCTTTATTTTGAGTTCTAGGCTTGGTATCTTAGAAAACTTTTTTTTTTTTTTTTGTTATAATAACCTCAAGGCGAGTCACTGCAGTGAAATGTGGCATTTTCTTTTTTGTTCTGTGTGCAGATAGCCAACACCCTCTTGTAAGAAATTAACTATGGGATGGATGGGTGTCTGATTAAAAGATAAGTGGGTGTAGGCAAAACTGTTTTATACTCCCCTAATAGCCTTTGTACCTTAAACCCAAGAAATAAAACAGGTGCGTTACAAAATTTAGCTAAACGTTCTTTTGTATTGTAAAATCATTGTCCAGCTGTCCTTGAAGGTATTTCATGCACCTTGCAGTGAGTTAAAGGATAATCTTTAGGAAGTAGTTTCCAGCTCTGACAAAAGTGAAAGTGTAAAACCAGTCCAAAAGAGTGTAATTCACCCACTGGATAATGGACTACACTCTTGAATCCTTGAATTTTAAGTAGCAACAATAGCAGCGATGGTGTGTTAAGCTGCTTGTGCTAGCTAGCTAGCTTGGGTAGGTGTAACTGTAATTTACTATGATGTCAAAGGACTTGAGACTTAACTAGCTTTAACATTAGAAACTATTTAAATGCGCAAGTCTTACAAAAATGTATTAAAATTTATATACAAGCGTAAATTATTATGAAGCGTAAATTTGTGCAGTTTTTTGTAAGCTTGTTGGGAAACACCCTACATATTCAGCAAGAATGGAGCAAATTAGCATTCATTTGGAGTCTTTATTCATGGAGTCTAATGTTCACTCTTTTGTGCACTGCTTATTCTCCGCCTCCTCTTCAGAAATGTATCTAATTCTTTAGTCACCCGCTAGTTGCTGAGTATGAGCTAGTTGTTGCTGTGAACCAAAACGGTAAACTCGCAGACCATAAAACGTAAACAGTAAGCTTAAAGTAAGTAACCATTTGCATTGGCTTTGGTTGACGCAGATCTTTGGCTATTTCACACTGGTCGTTTGGCAGCAGCGTGTAAATAATCCTGACCTCGAAATGAAGACAAATCAGTCTTCTCATTTGATTTGAGGGCTGAACTTTTGTTCCTTGGCTTTTGTTCTTGACTTTTGCTTTATGTTCGTCTGTGCCCTCAACAGTGTGAGGTCCCCACCATGAGCAGAGGGACCACCCTCCTCTCCCGTGGAACCGTAGGTGAGTTATCTTCATTATCACTCGTTATGTCTTTCTGTTTGTCTTTCCCCCTTTGCTCCTGCTTCCATTTATTAAACACCATCCCTCTGTGCTCTGCATTTAACATCTGGAAAAAAGCAGTGGCTGATTATTTGTTAAAAAACATTTCACAACTGATATAACACAAGTAATTGTCGCCTTTAATTCCCCAATAAGTTGAAGTATCAAAATCAGCGATTGCAGTTGTCTTGTTGTTTATCTCCTGCCACACTCGATCACTCACTTCTCCCTTTTCCATCTGTCACTCATCCCCCACTCATGATCAGAGTGCACCTGCCTCCACACAACGTTGCACAGCACTCTCATGGGAGTGAACTGTAATTGAATATTCTGCTGCCTATGTCAACAATTTCCCTTTAGCTGTGTTTGTGTAATTATCCTCTGTGTTAAAAGAAATACTACTGTCAATACAAGGCCAGCTATCTCCCACTGCCCTCTTTTTTTTTTTTCTTCCTTTTTTTCCCCCCCCTCTTTCTTTTGGGTAAAGATTTTTCCACAGTTAATCCTGACATTAAAATTGGCTAGCGTGTTTTGTTAGTTCAACCACTTTGTCTTTTGCTTTCAAATGGTGGCCTTTTGAAGTTCATCCCTTTCTCCTTTTGTCCAGTTGTTTTCCTAACATTCCTGTCAGGTCGTCACTGTAGCCCCCGTACATTGTTTGTCCAGCCAAAACAATGATTTCCGTCCAGTAGTCTGGGAGAGAGCGTGCCAGAATTGGAGGCAAGCATCCAAAAGGATGGTTTTTGGATCAGCAAGGGGCTCTTTTTGACAAAAGCTTCAATAGAGTCGAACTTAGCCACACTTTACTGTAGGTGTATTATCCTCCACAAAACTCTTTTGTCCCGATGGTGAGACAGCTGGAAATTCATACTGCTTTGACGCATATCCTACTAACCACTTGACTAATGGGAGTGACTGCCCAACTGTTTCACTGGCTGATTCTTATCATAATGTGCAGTTCATGTTTTTGGAATCAACGTTCTTGCATGTCCAAGTTTTAAATAGTCAGGAATGTTACTGCTGGAAACTTAAAAAAATGGCCAACATAGCAGTCAGTGGAGTGAGCTGGTTCATGCTGAGGAAGAGAATTTATTGTAATCTGGGTTTTTTTTGTGTGTTTTTTGTTTTGTTTGTGTGTGTGTGTTGGTGTTTTAAACCACAGTATTATTTATTTATTTGCATATTTAACTCTAAAAGTAATGGAGGCAGAAATGTGTTTCTCATGCTCGGAAACAGTAATGTGCCAGTAAGAACTCACAGCTGAGGTTTCACTGCATGTCCTGCAGCTGTTTATGTGAAAAACAAGCAGACAGACAGTGATCTTGTTGAGTCCTACTGGGCATGTAGTGTGTTATACTGAGCATTGTGACTTTTTGGGGGGTGGGCAGCCAACTTTTTAAGACTTTTAAAACATTTCCATCTTTGAATGCACAGATTTTTTTTTTTCCCAGAAAATTACTTTTTTGACTATTTTTTTTCTTTCAACATTATTGGGAATTTTCAGTCCAGCTTTCATTACAGTTACTGAGGAGCAGCACTGGTTTGAACTGTTCAACTGGTAGTTTTATTTCCTCTAGGCATAACCTTGTCAATCATGTTAAGACAAACAACCTCCCACCCCTTTTTTGTAATTCTCCAAAGCTCATGATTTCTTTTGTTGTTGTTGTTGTTGTTGTTGTTTCTACTTAGCTGTTTCTTTCTTCTTAGTTTAATAGCTCACCATTGCAGTAAGCAGACAATAATCTCCCTTTATTCTTCCAAACAGTTTGTTCTTACACCAACCAATCCTCTTTGCCTTAAGCTTATTTCTGCTTGTGTGTTTCTTTGTGTCTTTGTTGTTAAGTACTAAATTATCCTTCCAGATATTGCTGCTAGAATTCATCATGCTCTAGTTAACAAATGCAGTTTTTGCTTAATATTGCTTGCCGCACAGATAAAGATGTGTCAGAAGGGCTGCTGTTGAGGTCAATTAGTGTGAGGCTTTTATGTTTTCCCTATTACAGAGGCAGATAGATGGTTGGATATGGGGCGAAGCTGTGCCATCCAGCAGAGAGCTCCATGCCAGTCTGGTACTCCTCTATGGGATGTGACGCCTGATCACAACAGCCACTGTGCCAAGGAACCAGGCAGCACCACAGCAATCACCAGCCTGATAAGAGATCTGAGTCTCTGCAACAGCACTCACGCCGCATCCGCCACTGCACACTACACCACTACGGCTACCAGCCAAACTCCTACGGCACCCCCGAGCAAACGTCAGTGTCGCTCTCTGTCACTCTCTGAAGAATTCACTGGCTTCCGCTCATCTTGGAGGCCCCAAGGGTCCCGAGTATGGACAACGGTTGAGAAACGAAGGTGCCACAGTGGAGGGAGTGTCAGAGGTGGGGGAAGCCATTTTCCCACCATGCAGCGTAGCTCCAGCTTTAGTTTGCCCTCACACTCCAGCATCACTTTTGATGGAATCCAGGACCTGCCATTCTTCAACCAGCCGCTGCCTCTCCACCCTCAATTCACTGCCTCTCCAGTCTCCCCTACCTCTCTTGCCACACATCATCACCACTCCCAAAATCACGTCTTCCTCAGGCCTCTCTCACTTTCCCATGAGCAGATCAGCCTGCCAGAACACCAGAGGGAAGAGGCATCGGAGACCAGCTCTTCAGACTCCACCCCAGAGCTGGGGAGACGAGCTAGCCAGAGAGCCAGGGGAAAGGGGTGTTTGTCTCGGAGCAGGTCTCAGCCCTGTGTACTAAATGAGAAAAAGGTCGGCATGAAGCGCAGGAGACCAGAAGATGCTCAGGAGCAGCGGCCCTCCCTGGACCTGACAAAGATGACTCAGGTTAGCTGGAAATGTTGAACATATGTTGACCTGCACAGACAAGCACTTACATATTCATTGATTTGAATGCATTCAATTGGAATTTGACTAATTTCAGAGTTTAATATTACATGTGTTTGCTGATTGCACACAAATGAGTATCAGCTTATTTCTAATCTTGCTTTAATGCTGGGAAATGCGCTCTGTTGCATTCACTTTAATCCTGAACCAGATGCACTTACAACACAGACAAATGCTTTTTTGTTCTTAGACTAAAGGGAAGTTCAAGACATCTTCAAACAAAACTAAGTCTGTCTCTTTCTCTCAGAGTTTGATCAGGGAGTGGATTAAATTAAACTGTATTAAGTTTTCTGCGTCGTCAGTCCGAGGCTTCGAGGCTAAGTGATCTCAGGCTTTCCTCCCTCTAGCTTAGGGAGCGGTGCTTACTAAGAAAGCATTCCTCATGTTCAGTCACGCTGCCTTGAACCACTCTCTAGCAAGGCCCTCTCGGGTTTATAATTTCATTAACTCTGTTGGGTAAACAAGTCCATCCAAAGGTTGGACTTCTCACCATTTATTTGCTTCCTCTCTGCAACTCCTACCCAATATTTCTACCTGTCAGAAAAAGCGGCAGTGAATTATGGGTATATTTGGATGCACAGAGCTCTGGATGGATTTCCCAATGTCAAGAGTTTTTGTTCTTTTGTAAGGTCAGAGGAAACAGTGCAACAGCCAGAGAGTAAACCCAAACCCAAAATAGATCCAGAGAAGTATTTTAATGACATGAACTCTTTTGATATTTGGCAGAGCTGTGTTTCTTCTTTTTTTCTAGTGCCCTGAAAGATCTTGATCTGATTCTTGTATCACATTCAGCTCATTATTTATGTGAATGCTCTGGGAATTTTACACATTGTCCTATTTACCCATCCTTTCCTGATCACTTAAGTCATTTGATACTCAAAAATCATCCTTCACAGTACCTTGTTTCAGGAAAATATTGTAATTTTCCTGTCTCTTACTAGAAAGTTATCATCAGTTCATCCATATACCCCCCTTTTCCTTTCTGGAAATAATATTAGTCCCCAGCCAGTCATACTTAGGACCTAGCCAGGGTTGGATTAACAAGGCATGGGTAATGGAGCCTAGCAAACATGTTTCCCCTTGTATTGCCAGCTTCTAAGAGGGGAAAAATTAGGCATGCAACATATGAAGAACTAATCCACAAACACACACATGGAGCCAGTTTTACATTAACTCGACTAGGGCTGTTCAATATAACGATATATATATATATCGGATGACGATATAAAAACGTCTGTCATTTCATTTTACGCTATCGTTTGTTTCATGGTGTCGCAAAATAAACTGTTTACAGCAATATTTTTTCATCGTTTTGATGGTCACTGTAGTGGCTATATTCATTTCCTAAAGTTCTCTCTTTCTCTTATATTTAATATAACCACACTACGGACGGACAAGCGCCTGTTTTTATGCGTTGTCGTTAGCAAAAACGACGGTAAAACCATCGCGTGTCCGCTTGTTTATTTTCCACATACCGTAAACATATTTTTCACAATAAAGCTCAAGATCCTGTTGAGACTTTTCAAAATAAACGGAATCACGTGAAATGGTATGCAGAGTATTGACGGGTGAGAAGCAAAAAAAGAGCCGTCAGGTGCTAAAAAATAGATTGGACTCAAACGTTAGAACAGGCTTTTCCCTGCAGCACGCTACTCACAAAGAAAACGGCGGCCGTTACAACTTATGTCTAAAAATATATATTTTCACGCATCAGTTAAAAACTCGACTCCAGGTACACGACGCCCAGCTGGAATCACTTCACGCAAGTCGAGCTTCCAGAGATTCACAGAATTTTAAAGAAAATGTTTAATTTTTGTGATTTTTATATCGTTATCGGGCGATAGATGTCTTATATTGGGATATGAGATTTTGGTCATATCGCACAGCCCTAAACTCGACTTGCCATTAGTCATTGCCATTACTCTGCCAGTTACAGATTAATGTCAGCAAATGATCTATTCTCAAAGGTTAGCGGATCAAAAAATGTTTTCACTTTTTTCGGGTGTTTGAGTCGACTTGCATGAGTGCATGTTGATGAAAGGAGTCCGGTCGTACAGGTTAGATGGGTCATTTCAGATCTACTGTAACCATGTTTAAATTCTCATCCTCATGCACACCTCGGGAAAGTTACCAGTAAAGCATTGCATACAACAAAGATAGTATGATTAATACGTGCTCCCTTGCTTCATTTTCTTTTCCTGTTATTGAGACTTGATGTCAATAACTAAACCAGGTCAAGTTTGGCCAGGAACTTAAACAAGCAGGGTTGTAATATCTCACTCTAAGTTTAATAAACCAAAAGCACAAAGAAGATACTGCTGGAGATTGACATTGTTGTTACCAAAAGTGGTTGACCTTTGTGAGAGCCTAGGGAAAGAAAAAGATCCCAGCTGGCAGACTGTCTGGAAAAGGAAGTGTTAATGTGGAAAACTAGGGCTGGTTACAACCTGTGTCTGATCTACAGAGGATAGAACATGCGAAGTACTGCCAGGATTGGGAATATAATAGATTTCACCAACTCTGATTGGAAATCAGTTATTTAATGTGATCTTTCTTCTGATGTTATATATTTGAGCATCACAAGACTTCTTAACTGGCCTCTGTGTCATTGAAGTGGCAGTTTTTTGTTTTTTTTACCCCTGGTTACGCACACACAATTCCTCCCACTCTTTCTCAAGAACTGGGTGAGTCTAATGACAACATTATTACTTTTCATACCTACGTAAACAGTAGGTTTTTTTTTTTTTTTTTTACTGTAGGTGTGTTTTGAGTAATGCTGTCTAACATTGATTAAAAGAATAGCAAACATGTTGTAGATGGGGCAGGAAACTGTGACATTTGTCTGAACTGCAGTGGATACAGACAGGTGTTGTTTGATTAATTTTCTATGGAACGTGCGCCAGAGACTCGCCGAGTGAAGGATCATGGTGGTCAACAAGCCCTCAGTGTGAGTTAGTGGAACATGGTGTAATTTGGCCTTTAGATTCCTCGACCACGTCAATGAAGGCGGGTGTGAATTCTGGGGATGCATGTCATGCTAATCAGCTATAACTTGACTACAGTGGGGATTTACATGCAGCCACCCCCAAAATTCCTTGAATGTCCTCCCAGTCAGCCATGTAGATAAGTTATCTCTGCCTGCCCTTCCACCTTGGCCTGTCATTGTTGTCTTTTTTGGGGGATTGTTTTTTTTTGTTTGTTGTTGTTGTTTTTTTGTTGTTTTTTTTAAATGGACTGGCTATTGGGCATAGCAAACTCCATGTCCTTCACTGAATGATTGTTGACACTTCTTGCACAGTGAATTTGAGGAAGCTGTGTGCTTAAGTCCAGCCTGGTCAGTTAACTTCCGCTGGGCTATTGTCCATTTTTTTCCAAAATATTTAAATTTGTAAATATGTGTTAAATGTATATTAAGCGTGTGTGTGTGTGTGTGTGTGTGTGTGTGTGTGTGTGTGTGTGTGCGCGCACACAAACTTGTATCCCTCCCTCTCAAGTTTTTCTGAGAGGTCACCCAAGTTCAAGCTGCTCTGGTCTTCCCCTCCTTCTTCCATCACACACACTTCATTCCTTGGATGGCAGACATGATGATCATAACTGAGCCCTGC